TCCAGGGTTGATTAACAACTCTACACAACCTTAGTGGAGTTACACCATCAAATACATGCCATCCATTTATGGCTATATGTGTCTATTTTGACTGACAAAACTAAATTTTTGTAGTTTGTCGCACAATCTAACTGACGGACGCACTAACGGAGGATTGGCAAAACATTCATGCAGAAAAACAGCGAATTACATTAACAGTAGCGCCTTTATTGGCAGTCACGTGGTACAACCAAATAATATTATAAAAGCGTGATCAGCGAACTCATACAGTACTACTTAATTATTTCAATGGTTTAACATGGCATGGAAAAACACTTTGTCTTCTATCTAGATAGAAACAATATGAATAATTCGGCTTTAAAGCCAGTGAAAGAGTCGATGCCATTTCTCAATATATCTTGTTGAAATAAAGAGAAAAACTTGCAGGTATTTTTCCTTTTTTCATTTCTGAAAACCTCGGTACAAAGGACACTATTGGTCTTGGGTAAATTCTATCTTGCAATTCGTTTCGCAATATGTTGTAATATAACGAATGACGAACAGTTTAATTCTATTCTCTTAGATTACATTATCAAAATCTTTGCAAAAATGTCGTCAAACTATTACAGCCTTAAGTGACCAATTTTACAGGTCTTCTCAAACTTACTAATAATTCATCAAGTTTCAATTAACAAAGAAACTGTCATGACCGTAGCGGTGTTTGAAAATCTAATTTTAATAAGAATATAATCTTACGATTTTAATTCTCTATTTCTCCTTAGTTTTAGTTTCGATTGAGAAGATATATCCAACCCTCAAAACTGTGTTTGACCACATTTCCAAACTCCTCAAAGTTTGTTCAAAATACTCCTTTACGCGTCGTTTTTTCAACTCTCTTCTCAGTGTTTGGAAATGTGGTCAAACACGGTCTTTCGTTTTTGATATATTACTAACAGCCACGTCTTTGCTCATACTTCAGTGTCATTTAACAATGTATAACACTTTTCCATGCTCTTTTTCTCCGCGCTCTTGTCAATCTGTGGCGGCTTGAGATGTTTGATCAACCTTTCTTCCCACGTTTTGCGCTCCGTGATGTCATAATGGTCCAGAAAGGTCCTGTTGCGTAGGGCCTTAGGCAGCTTGCTCCGGTCCACTCCATCGATACGCATCACGATCACAGAGGAGTCCCCCATCTCCGTGCTCCGGTACAAAGCCATCTCCAGTTCCCCTCGGCAGAACTTGCTTGACATGTAGTTGTGTGACATGACTGCCAGAACTTTGCGACTTGTGTAAACACTTTCGGCCATGTTGTCTACCACAGCCTTACCAATCTCAAAGTCCCTGTCGTGTATACAGTAAATCAGCTTGTGTTTTTCCAACAGAGGCAGTAGTTCCTTGTTGACCCAGTTCAGATCTTGGCTGCTGAAGGTCACAAAAACATCGTATCTAAACTGTCGTCCGTTCACTGGAGTTTCTAGTCAGTGAAAAGAGAAAAACAAATGAAAATGCGAGATGACTCTCTACCTGCTAACCCACAAACTGCAACGTAGAATTTACTTAGTACTCCCTTCCGGCTACTTCCCGAGTTCTTTAATCTGTAACCACTTCTTATTAAGACCCCGTCTACACTAGGCCAGAGATAATTGAAAACGGCGTTTTCACTCTGGAAACGCGTCAAATGTTTTCCGTCCACACTGCACCGGAGAAATTTGAAAACGCAACAATTACTGGTCATTTTGAGGAAATTTCGGGCAGGGAAATCTCACGATTATCGTGGGGTCATCGTTTTCGAAAAGCTCCGTTTTCAAAATGTTTTCCGTCCACACTAAAACGCAAAACCGTCGTTTTCAAATTCCTCCGGTTTGAAGGACGTTTTCGAAGAGTTCCTTTTTCGTGACGGATTAGTGTGGACAGTAGGCCTAACCGTAGAAATAAAGCTCCGTTTTCGTGACGGATTAGTGAGGACGGTAGGCCTAACCGTAGAAATAAAGCTGCGTTTTCGTGACGAATTAGTGTGGACGGTAGGCCTAACCGTAGAANTGGGTTACTGTGGAAATATTAGGTAGAGGCGCGGTGGCCTCATGGTTAGTGCCCTCAACTCCGGATCGAGCAGTGCGGTACGCGCACTGATCGGGGACATTGTGTTGTGTTCTTGGGCAAGACACTTTACTCTCACAGTGCCCTCTCCACCCAGGTGTATAAATGGGTACCGGCGAACTTAATGCTAGGGGTAACACTGTGATGGACTAGTATCCCATCCAGGGGGGAGTAGAAATACTCCTAGTCGCTTCATGCTACAGAAACCGGACATAAGGGCCGGCCTGGCTTATATGCAGACTTTACCTTGGACACATTAGGTTTCCTGTACAAAATGTTATCACACCACAGTGAGCCCAGAGCTCAGTAAGTGATTATATCATTTTTGATGCTTATCAAACTATGAATGTTTAACGATCTAAACAAATTTAAAACTCACGATCACGTCTAATTCTGTCGGACGGGAGAAAATTGATCTCAACGAAAGAACAATTTCCTTTGTCAACAACCTTACCTCTAGGGGTTTCTTCTTTGAGACTAAAGAAGACATTTGCCGTGACAACATCAATCTTAAAATCCGCGCCACAGGTATACCAACCGACATCTTGAGCGCTTACATTGGAGATATGCAGCTGCGGGGATAAGCGCTTAGTCGTCGAGTTTGGGCCCATTCTTGGTCCATCTTCTTTTGACTGGTAGTGCTGTGACTCTTTTGCGAGCCTGGTGTTGTTAAAAAGCCAAAAGGTTTTTGGTGTTGTGAGGATAACTGGATAGATTGCCTTGCATCTCAACCATGTGGGAGACCCTGGAGCTGCAGAAGCATTTGAAGTTGCCGAAATGCGAGGAGCGTTAACTGGAAAACATTAGAAAAAGCCACAGGTTTGATTAGCGGCAGTCTCAATTACAGAGTACTAGTCTCCACATTCCAACTTCATGCTGTAATGTTTTGAAATGTTCAAATCTATTATTTTGTGCGACACATTTTCTAAACGTCAAGACATTTTAATGACAGATCAAATTTACATGTAATTATCCTCACATGTACACGTTCCTACTCAAGGTCGAGATTCAAGCCTTGTGTACCGATAGAAGGATGTGAAAGGAGGAAACAGAAAAGAGGACCGAGTCCTAGATTCCTAATTTCCGTATCTTTTACGCACAGTTCCTGATCCTTTCTCAGTAAAAATCATCATACGTTCTCCCAGCTGCCGCCATCTTGGGCATCACACCTCTGTTCACCCTCCTCCCAACTCGTTCCCAGGACCTCTCCCTTCAAATTACAAGAGAAAAGCCCTGGGAACGAGGCTGCCTTCCTTCCTCCCGAAAACTACCCATATCTCAAGATCCCGGATTTAAGCCTAGTATTCTAGACATTTGGTGGCGAAAACCCAAATCTGATGTTAAAATCCGCTTTTCACTGGTATTTCTCTAAAAAAGCTCATGTCACTGAGTCATTTTATAACATGCACAGTCCCAAACAACTCACCTTTGGAGATGACACGTAGTCGTCTTGGAATCTCTGCAAATCCCTTGGAGGTGTTTATTCCACAAAGGTACATTCCTTGATCCGTTCGTAAAACATCGAGTATAGTCATCGCCATCTTGACGGCGTTGGGTAAAACCTGTTTGGAAAATTTGAATTTTTGTGATGCGTTCACAATCAAATCGTTGTATTTCCAGTAGGTGGAGGCAGTCTCCTCTTTGCATTCTGTTTTGACGCAAATACATTCCAGAGTTGCATTTCTACCCTCGATTGTCACAGTGCCCTGCTGGTCACGATAATCATTCTCTATCATCTCGTCTCCTATTAGAAAATAAAAGTCATATTTCAGCTACAAAACCGTTTTTTATCAACTGATGTCAAGACTTAAGCTTCTTTGTGACTACACAAAAAAAATTAATTGAGAATTCTAGATCAGGGTTATTCATTTGTATTGCCCAAATATGGAAAATCCTCTGATTAAAAGACCTTTTAGCAATGTTTTCAATATATTCTTGATATTTTCTTTTAATATCTTGAAGTTTCCCATTGTTTTTCTACGTTTTTCACTCTCAGTAGTCAATGACCCAGAAGTTTGTAATGTTTATCTACCTTTATTAAGTTGGTAATAAAAATAATAATAAAAGTTTTAAAGCAGTAATTGCAGCAAGTGAAATAAGCCGGCTATTTCCGACTTGTCCATTGTGTGAAAACGAATTTTCATACTAGCGCGTTCATTTTGATGCAAATCAATCACCGCTTCACGTGGCCAATTCACATAAAAAAAGTTTCGCAAAAGGACTCGCTTTTAACCCGAGGAAATAGGCAACTCGGAAATAATGTATTTATCAACAAATGATCCATTTTGAAAGCAGATGTGAACTCACCTAATTGGGAAATTGAGAGTGAGAGGATTAAGCCACATTACATTTGCTTACGTTTCGCTAATAACTTAACTTCTCAAACTCCTTAAAGATTCATCATGTTTAAACGAAGGAAGTCATGACCGTGACGGTGTTTGAATATCTGATTTCAATCAAAGATTTTTCTGATTTTATTCCTCCGGTTTCTCCTTAGTTTTAGTTTCGATTGAGAAGATATATCAAACACTCAAGACTGTGTTTGACCACTTTTCCAAACACCACGAAGTTCGTCAAAAACACCCCACTACGCGTCGTATTTTCAACTCTCTCCTCGGTGTTTGGAAACGTGGTCAAATACTGTCTTTCTCGCTTGATATATAACGTGCAGCTCACTTACTTTTCACCATGATATTAACGTACTCCTCAGAGGCCCCTAATGTGTTATTAGCACGGCAGGAATAAGTACCATGATGATATCCTTCAATAGCTAGTATTTTCATCCACAACTGGTTAATATCTGATTTTCTTATCATGTACGAGTGAAGGTAATCTCCATCATGAATCTTGGAACCATTTCTCCACCATGATAAACTTGGCACAGGCCACCCACTTGCTTCACAAACCAGCTTAGGCGTGGTATTAGCTTCAGCTTCTATGACAGGTGACAGCTTTCTCAGTTTTGGCTTACCTATCAAAAGTAAAGACATTAAAATTATCAAAACAAAAACAAAAAAGCGAAGTTCCCGTGCCAGACATGCATCGTGTGGTACACTTACTTAATGCTAGTGAGGTTAAAAAATCATATATTACTTGCTTACAAATAATTTTGAAATAATTTATCCCTCTTACGTATTCACCTTTGAAAATATTTACTCAAACTAACCAGCTGTTAGGCCCGTCTGTTCGAGTTATTTTGAAAGGCTCTGAATACTTAAATGAGCGCTTTTCCTACCCTATTCAATAATTTAAAGTTGATGAATTTTCTCATCCAGTAAGTAATTATTTTGCCCGGTATAAATTAAAATACCGCATTCAATCAGAACAAAACAAGTACGTGTACTTTGCCCAACCTTTTATAACTTCTTTAAATGTCATTTTCCCGACATTTTTTTTTTCTAACTTTGCAGTCGTTAATATTTACAATTCTCCAAAAATAGCTTTAAAGCAGGATACCGCAACCAATACAACTTCCTTCCCAGGCCTTTTCAAATTTCAAGAGTAAAGCAGCCCTGGAAACGAAATTGTATACAATTTACGGGAACTGTACGTGGTTGAAATTAAAATTTCTTTTTCGCCGGGATGTGTTTCTTTGCTCACCAGTACCACTCATCACTGATCAATTCATCTCTAAAAGGTCAATGTACAAACTTGAGCCACACCCAAAAATATCGATTCTGGTACCGGAGGTGGGTATTGAGGGTACACAAAAGTTTCCACGAGGATTTCTTTCACTTTAACATGGTGTACACCGAGAATATATGTTTTTATTAATAAGAAATTCAGGTGAATTTTCCATTATTGGCCATCGGACAAGAAACTGCTCATAGCTAGCAAAATGGTGGCCTCCAAGTTTTGGTTCCGGATTCCAACTTTCGCCGGCCATTTTCCCCCGCCTGCTTTCCCCTAAACTTGTTCACAGTTTCTTTCTTTTCCCCTCCGTGCTCGCGCTCCCAGGTCTCTCACGGTTCCTTTTGCGGGCCATTGATCAGACCAAAGACTGGGAACTAACTACTGACGAGTTTAGCAGAGGAACATGATCTGCAATCACCTCTGCTTGTCATCAATCTTTTTTTGACATGTTTCTGAAATCCTCAGGCCGGCCAACCCCAAAATAATTGGTAAATTAAACTTAGAAGCTGATAAGCAAGAACATATGTCATTGAGCCGTCAGAATGGATCAAAACATGAACAAATGGCGGCGATACCGAGTCTTCACTGTAATTTAACATTTTGTAGACTGAGAGGAGTCTCTATTTTGCTCTATTTCTACGTGGAAGAAGGAAAAAAACTCAGCGAACCGGCAAGATATACCAGAGGCGGAACGTTTTCGTGTTTTTCCCCGCAAATGCTCGAGCAAAAGAGACTGCTCGCAATCTAGCGTATTTTTTTTTTTTTCGGAGGAGGAGGAGAAGGAGGGGAGGTTACACTTTCACTGCAATTGAAACTCTACGACAACCCCCGCTTCTAAACTTCCTGGATCCACCATTGCATTGGCATAATGGCTTTGGCCTCCGTCAATAAGGCGAAAAACAACCAAGTGTAATAAAGCCGGAATATTCTACCATTTTTAATCAGAAACCACATAAAAGCGCCTTACTTGGTTGAACGGAACAAGAAAAGACATGCTGGCCACGTTTCGCTACGCATGTAAATTTACCGACGTCTTGAATAGAGGTTGAATTACTGTAAAGAACAGCTGCAGACCATTTCTTGCGTTTTGCTGAATCCACCAGTGTGTTGTTTAGAACGGGCTGCTTGTTTCTTTTCCAGCTAACGGTATCAACTGAACGGCCATTAAATGTGCAGTTAAGAACTAAAATTACCGCTGTGGGATGTTTGGTGAGATTCCTGTCCCCTGGAGTGATAGCGCATCGTGAATCCACGGAATAGCACTTGCAGAGCACTGAAAATAAATGATTAAGAAAAAAAAGTTACTTGTTTGATAGCCCTTGGACATCTTTTTTAAAAAGACTAACAAATATAATTGTTAAGAATAAATAAGGGAAAATGTAAAAACATTTATTTGCCAAGCAGTTTCCTAAGGAATCATTTTTACAATCTATGTCCATGCAGGGCATTGTTTGGTCTTGCCTCAACCTGATCACAACCTTAGCTTAGACAAAATGTTTTTCAAACAGCTTCAGGCAATTTAATACGGAACTTCGAATATTGGTTGTTTCATGGTAGAAATGTGTAGTGTATATTTCACCAAAATGACTGAGAAGTAGTTATACTGATCTATGCTTCAACCAGACATCCCAAATCTTCTTGCTGTTAGTCTACATTCACGCCGTGTTAATTGCTGTTTACACGCCTCATGCAGGACAAGGGAAGCCCTAGTTTTTACATGTATGAATAATATCACCATAGAGCCAGCAGGGTTCTTAAAAATAGATTTTTCAGGCCTGGCAGGTGTATACGTAGTCTTTTCCTTGAATGTTTAACATGTTTTAAAAATCGGCTATAGGGTTTTGTCTTCTACGGGTAACAAGCATCGTAAGATGAAAACAAAAATCATTACTATATTGAAGTATGATGGAAGCTATAAAATGTTGCAACCTTCCAGCCCATTCTAAAGAATTCACAAATCAAGCTTGTATTGCTTTTTCTACATTTTCAATTTCAATTTCGCCTGTAAACCACTTTGAAATTGTAATTTTGTGTCCCTTAGTTTCAGTCCAATATGTCGGGTCTGATTAATTCATCTTTCACGTATATTTATCATTGAGCAATAAATGCAGTTTGGTTATATTCAATGTTGTATACCGCTTTTGCACCGTTGCAATTTTCGTAACAAAAAAAAATAAAATAAACATCGCAAAATGTATCTAGAAAACTAACTTGTATTTAAAGCTATATATTCGACCGGTCTTGTATCCTAAGGAACATGAATTTTCTCGAGCAGATTTCCTCTGTTGACGCCAGCTCAAGGCCACCCATGCAAATGTTTTCAGCACTTACGATGCAAACAGAGACAGCTGCAGCAGAAGAATCTGGAATCCTTACCTCTTCCAGTTTGATCATGAAAATCAAGAGCAAGTTTGTATTTTCCCAAATTTATCCCCAGTTTTTGCTGAAATTTTCGAGCTGTTAATAAGCTGCGATAGCCTGCTCTGGCCCGTTTCTGTTTGTTGCAGCATAAAACTTACTCAAATATCGACATCATTGTTTAGATCGATTTTTCGATAAGTCGTATTATTCATAAGAACAAATTCGGTCACGCTATAAAATAGTATTTTCTCTTTTTAATAGCTTACCAACTGGCAAAAGTTCTCGGTAATTAATAACAATTTTTTGGCGGATTCGATGAATTATTCGTAGCCTATTCTCAATGTAGGATTATATTCCCGGTCTTCTAAAGCGTTTATAAAATGTAGACATTTTATAAGTGAAATTTGCATCAAATAATACACATATTTAGTAAGGGTTTAGTTGACCTGGAACAGTTTTATGTTTCACTAAAATATTTTTTGTGAGAGCTGATGTTATCTATTGATGCAATACTCCAGTATAGTAACTTATAAGTTACTGAGTTTTAGCATTGTACGACAAATTCAAATTCAACTCAACACTTACCCAGGAGGATCAGTCGTAGAGAAATCAGCTTTAGAAATTGCTTGGACATTCTGTTTACTCTATAAGGCATAAAGTGCCGCTTGATTCAGCCACACAACATAGGGACATGAATATACTGTGAATGGAAGCTTCAAGCAAAATTAAATCAGGTATGCCGGCGATCCTCTATACTCTGAAGTCTTGAGTGCAATTCTCTTATTACGTCTGCGCGGTTTTTAAACCACCTCCTCAAGTGACAGGATAACAAATTGCCATTCTTGACAACCATCTGTTTCCTGTCTGTTCATGTTTTTGTCTAATTTCGTTTCCTTTCGTAAACATGGCTGGGGGTAAAGAGAAATTCTAAAACTATAATTTCTACAGTCCCAGCATGAACGCAAATAAAGACAAGCTAATATTGAAGGATTTTATCTTGCACTAAAAAGGTTTTTTTCACATGTTGATAATTGCATGGGTTTGTTTGAGTGACAGAAGGATGGATAAATAGCATAATAAATTTTGTTCTCATTTTAGGTATGACTTAATCGTCTTCCGCTGAGAAACTTTCACAGGAAAACAATTTCAAAACTTTCAACAACGGATGTGAAAAAACCCGCAACTGCCCTTTGAAAAGCTGGCACGCGATGATTAAATTCAGGAGAGTTTTTATCACTTTTTTTACCTTCTAGCAAATGCTACATTGATAAGCTGATACGTAGATCTCGAGTGAAAGGGCATATTACCAGGGGGGTGCTCTCTTATATGGGCTATATAGGTATGTGCCGCCCGAAAGGGTACGGTTTTTTAGCCGTTTTGGTCAGAAATAGGGTATTGATTTTGGCCATTTTGGTCTGTGTACTCTAGTCTTCAATTGGGAATGTTTTTCAGAAGAAGCCCGGCTTTTTCATCATAATCGATGAAACCATAAAGCCCCTCACAATGCCTTTAACATCGGTCTGAACTAGGTAACTAATTATGAGACAGGTCTGAAACAGGGTATTGATTTAGGGGTCAGGGGCCCGTTTCTCGAAAGCCCCGGAAACTTTTCGGGCCCGGAAAGCCATAGCAAAATCTCGAACCTTGCGATTACAGAGCTGTTTTATTTACGTATTCTTAATATGAACAGAGGTTCTCCACACACAAGAAGTTTCAGGCGTATACGCCTCTCCGTTTTTAGATACAGATGAACTAAAAATCTCTTTACGGACCCGAAAAGTTTCCGGGACTTTCGAGAAACGGGCCCCAGGTCTTAAATAGCGTGTCGAATATTTGGTCAGGTCATACATGGGGTAGGGAAAATCGCAGATTTTTGTCTTAAATAAATAAGTAATTTGGGGAAGCGGGCCGAACACTCCATCCAATTGTCCTGTGAGTACTTCCCCCCCCCCCCCAAACACCTTCCGCCCGCCCGCCTCCGGGCATATTACTCAAAACGATTAAAAACTATCCGATCTGACCTGCAGCCCCTGCTAAAAGATGTCTAACAGAAGACGACTATTGTCACATCTGAGTTGCTGTTTGCACAAAAGACGAAACTGTTTTATTCGATTCAATGCTGTAAGTTGAATGTAACACAGTGCTCTGCTTATAAACAATAAGTTTTGATAATAAAGATATAGTAATATGCATACGGCTTGTGCTAAAACCTTACAGCTTGATACAGGCTTGCAAGCTGTCTACTGAATAAAAATAGGCAAGTATGAGATAAATGATATGATAAAGCAGTTTTTTCTTTAACACGTCGTTTTAGGAAACCTAACCTTTCTTCATTTGAAGTATAGCTTAAGCTTGTGTCAATAAATTATTTAAATTTCTAAAATGATTTCAATTCCTTTTTATAAAACAGGACAGTAACCAGAAAAAAATTATGACTGAAGCAAAACAACTGAGAAGAAAAGAAATTATTTCATAATGCTAAATACTAAATTTGTCCTTTTTATCGAGTCATTTATCCCATTTATCAGACGTACTGGGGGAAGAATAGAGGGGGGTTCCAATATGGGGTTCGGCTATTACAGCTAACAATTAATATTTTGTCTTATTACCGCTAAAGGTTAATTTACTTTCCTTACGCTTATCAGAAGTCTAAGAAATTAATTACCATTGTTTCAAAAGTTAAAAATTAACTTTCGTTGTTTTCAAGAAGTTAAAAACTTTTTTTGATTACCGAGAAACATACCGTTTAAGGTCTACCAAGCTGAAGTTGTCTGCCAATTCACTGCCAATTCGCCATCTGCCAATTCGACCGGCTGAAACTGTCTGCCAATTCGATTTAAAATTCAGTAGTG